GATGAAGCTTACTCCATGGAAGCAGAAAAACTTAACTCAAGGAGACTCGAATTTTTCAAATTGCAGGATCTCGACATTCTAGGATTTCGAACTTCGGACCTCGACATTAGGTCTTCAAAACCAAGAATTCGAAATTTTTGTAAACAGACTTCATTTTAGTCATAATTATGTAATTATTTCAATACTTGATAGGAAATTTAAAAGAAGAACCTTCTAAAATAATTTAGCATTTCCTCTTTTTATAGAAAATAATTTATCATTATCTAAACAAATAAACAAAGAACAACTCATTGTTTAAGATTTATGATACTTGATAACACTTGTACTTATTAAGCATGTTCTTAGTGTAAAATTATTTTTTCTTTCACTAAAAACATATTAAATAAGGCCTCGGACTAACCGAAAAAGTGCAAATCACCCCTTTTATAGGAGGCTCTGTCCGGCCGTCGCCATTTGGGCAGTTACTGGTGGAATTTTTGATGAATTTTTTGAGCATCTTATTCATTAAGTCTAGTTTATCCATACCAAATTTCAGCTAAAATTGCAATCGGGAAGGCAGACAAATAAATGTTTGAAGATAACAACGCAGTTAAACAGCGCAGTATATTTCAGAAAATAATTTGACTGCCTTCGAGGTTGAATTTTTAGCTCAAATTTGGTATGAGTAAACTAGGCTTAATGAAGAAGATGCTCAAAAAATCATCAAATTTTTTTTTGGGTAACCGCCCCAAATGGCGACGGCCGTACAGAGCCTCCTATAAAAGGGGTGATTTGCACTTTTTCGGTTAGTTCGAGGGATTATTTGCACCTTTTCTCTATTTTAAAAGTACCATATTACATTGGATTCGCATATTAAAATTCATAAGAGTTGATTATAGATATAATTTAATAAGTTTTTAATAAAAGAAAAAATAAGAAAAAGAAAATGAATTGGATGATATGAAGCAGAGATCATGATGCTCATTGTTAAGCTTCTAATACTCAAAAGAATAAGCATGATGCTCACAAAAGGTACATGATAAGTTCGTATTTCAACACGCATTAGAGCGTGTTGGGATTGATTTTTGCCACTTTTCCTAATCTAAATGAGTCACAAAAAGTCTAATTAGCTCAAGTCAAAGTTTACCGGGTTTAGTTTGCGTTTGTTCTTTTTAGAAGAGAAAATCATGAATTTGAAGCCGGCACCGGCGTTAAAGATTAATTTGAGAAGATTTTGGGACATTTTCGAGGGATGTTAAGAAGCATCGGAGACTCACGAAGCGACTAAGGAGCATTTTTAAAGTCAAAAGAAGTCAAAGATTGAAGGTGGGATCGATCGAGATCGAACAAGGAAGAAAAGAGCAAGAAAACGGTCCGAAAGAGGTCCGCGCGCCCCGCGCATCTTGCCCGCATGCCCCCGCAGACGATTCAGAAAGCATGAAGTCCAAAAGTCTGAACCGCATGCCCGGCGCTGGAGTTCGCACGCCGCGCGGCTCAGAGCACAGTTGCAGGAGTCCGCAAGATCGGACTGTACGGGTGTCAGCACGCCGTGCGGACCAGCGTACAATTTTGACAGAGAGGGATTCGCGCGGACGACCCCGTGGATTGAATTTCCCACAGGTTTTGTTTGTTTTTTATTACGGAGCTTAGAGAGAGAATCCTAGTACGAATTTGTGAGAGTTTTTCAGCCTTGGTTTATCAAAATTTTGGAATTCTTTGTAAGTTCCAACTTTTTAATTAATGACAATTAATTTTTTTCATCTCAATTCTACTGATTGCTCAATCATGCGCTCGCTCGTTTTGACAATAATTTAGAAACTTGTCTAACGAGAGATCAGTCTGGTTCCCTAAATTATTGTACACTAAGCTGCGAGAGCGGTAAGAACTTAGTATTGATCAGCGTTGCTCAATTAAATAATTTTCATGTGATTAAGTCTCATCAGCCCCGAAATCTGATTACCCCGGAATCAATTTATGTTTCGTATCGTCATTAATTAGAAGGAACCCATTATTTTAGCTGCTTTATTGCATTAGTTAATTTTTTTTTCAAAAATCCAAATCTCGCACATTGCATTTATTTTATTTATTTTAAGAGATAATAGTCCTAAATAGGACTAAATTAATTAATCCCCAAATGCACAAATAGGACTATCTTATTTATCTTCCCCAAATAGGACAGAAACATACTCTATCTTCCTATTCTACCCTTTCAACAACTTAATAGGATAATCATATTTTAATTTGTAATAAATACAAAGAAATAAAAAAATAATTTGACATACAAAAAAATCGTAAAAATATAAAAAAAATACGAAAATCATAAAAATTAAAAAAAAAATCAAAACTTTAAAAATAAATAAAAAGTAGATAAATCTTCTTAAAAAATATGGAGGGCTTTTCAACAGTCTCGGCTACTGCCCAAAAACTCTATCTTTGATCGGCTAAAAATGGCATTTTGTGTAAATATTGTTATTTTTCCTTTGAAAATACCATGAAGATGACATTTTTACTCTTGAAAATGCCAAAATTTTTCTCGAAAACCGACATCAAGATGGCATTTTGACATATGTTGGCATTTTTTCGGGTGACCGGAGCTGATGGTGTCGGGAGGTTGTTGAGGCGGCAGCATAGGCCTGCATATTTTTTATATATTTTTTATATTATTTATTTATTTTATTTTTATTTTTTAAGTTTTTTATTTTATAAATTTTAATTTTTTAGATTTTTTTATTTTTATTAATTTCAAATAATTTTATTTGGTGTTTTTTATACATTTTTATTATAAATACTGTTATGTTTATTACTTTATATTTTATTTATTAATGAAATATGAATTGTATTAAAACAAAGAAAGGGTAGAATTGGAAAGCTATTTAGGGATTTTTTTAAGTTATGTTCCTATTTTCAAAATTAAAGTTTCATTTAGTCCTATTTGGAGAATTCTCCCTTATTTTAATCGCTGAATTTAGTTAATTCATGATTCTTTTTTTCGTTCCTGTGGAGACGATACTCGTACGTATACCTTATATTGCTACATCTTTTAAAGTGAGAAAACTCACATCAGTACATTAATGGTCATTTAGCGGAGGTTGCAATTTTCCCTTAAATTATGAAAATGCCACCGGTTGTACGGTGTCTACCATATCTCGTACATATATCCTCCACTGGACGTGTCCTAAGGTTAGCAGCATCGTCTTCTCTTTAGATCGAGCAAGATTTAGAGTATGTGTCGAGTAGATTTGTTTCGACAACTTTGGAAAGACAACATGATATGGAGTGGTTTGGTTTCAATCTAGGGATGAAGCTTTTGGTCGCGCATGGATTGTTGTTTTTGTTTCTTCTCGGTGTTTACAGTACTACTTCAACCATATACTCTCATCGTCCAATAAAATTTTATCAATTTTCTTTTTTTTGTCGCATTAATTTTGTCATTTTCTCTTTTAAGTAAACAATTTGTGGATCCAGTTAGTTCTCTCTCTTCTGCACAAACTTCAATCACACAGTTTTTACTGTATTAATCCTCGTGCGGGTCAATCGTGGGGCAGTGAGAGAGAGATTAGGGAGGGGGAAGTAGCAGGGACATGACTACATGAGCAAAGGTTGGACACTGATGGGGAGAGGTGGGAACGTGGTTGGGACAATGGTATGATTGGGGTACAGAGGTGGATTTGGGGTAGTGTCATGACCACATGTGAGGTCACTGGGCATCGGTAATTGTGGGATCATTAGGCGCTAGTGGTCACTGGTGGCGGAACACTAAAAAAGAAATGGTCAATGATTGTGGGTCGCCTAAGTTGTGGTCACTTAAAAATATAGGTCACTGGACTGGCGGTGGTCACTGTACGACGATGGCCACTGGCAGCAGGTGCTCGATTCACTGTGGTGCAATGGTGTTGGTCACTAGCGTCGAAGCCATTGTGGTGATGGTTACTAGTGGCGGTTCATTGGAGCACAGGTCACTAGGGCACGAGTTAGGGTCACTGATCACTATTAAGGTTGGAAGAACTGAACTGAAACTCAAAAACCAATCTTAGTCCAGATAAAAAGTGTGACTGGTTCGGGTTTTCTTATTTTTGGACGGCCTGAATAAAAATACCCGAACCGAATCAGAAGAATCGGGTTCATTAGCATTCCCTAAGATTTGTAACTCAACTCGGACCGGTAAAAATTCGAAACAATACATTTAATATAAAATCAATATAACATATTAATATTATTTAGAAATATATCTTAATATATTACTAGAATAATAATGTTGGACACAAAAAGTGACTCACTAACTTTTAGTGATTACAACCATATTCAATTTGTATATCATAATAACCATGAAAATATATTGTTAGTGACTTTAGTCACATTTTTATGGATATTAAACGTAAAATTAAGATAAATAATTTTGTTTGAATTTCATGATTTCAGTGGTGGGTAATTTTGGTCTTTTGGAGACTAATAAAGGTCTTCCAAAGGGCGCCGAACACTTGAAAGTGTTTGATGCTTTTACATGAGAGGACATTGTCCCTCATAAACATATGCATTGGGCCTGTTGGGACAAGGCATGCCATACTATGAATAACTACTACTGTAATTTTTTCGTTATAAAAGTTGAATAGGTTAGGTCTTATGGATCCATATTTCCATTCATACAGATAGAGATAAATCTGTTTTGCGCCAAAGTTGGGATGGTGAGATGCTCAGTTCAATACCAAGATGTATTATATTGTATTTGTCTTAGACTCTAAATATTAGTCAGTAATCACATAGGATTAGGTGGACTGGTGGAGTCCACTATACCACCCTCCCTCCCCTCCCCTCCCTCTGGTGTGGAAGAAAGTAATTACATGCAATGCTGACTCCGTGTAAAGGGAGATGATTTTGGAAAACTGCCAGGGAAACCCGGTCAGGATAACAGGCAATGCGTGCTGTTATTTGACAACAAGAGGGGTTGTATTACCTTAAATTAGAATCCAGGATTGATGGCACATTTCTGTTTTACTAATATAATCCAATTTCTCTTATATTAAAACAGAACAAAAAATAAAAACTTCATTGAACTAGTATTGTGCAATGGAAATTATAGGTCAACTTGGACACACCAAACAAGCCTGAACAATATAAAAAACACATCCTGTTGTACTACACAAAAAGAATAATCAAAAGAGAGACGGCAGCATCTATTCTCATTACAAGTTAGTCTAGTTCAAAAGTAGCAGCAGCATTTCTAGAAAAGCTGTGATTCAGATTGAGTCTTAGAAGCCAGTAGTCACATAGTGGAACTTCATCGACTCATTGTTTGCAATGCCATCATTTCTAGGTAATACTTCAGATCTTTGCATTTTTTAAGAATTCCATACAGCCTCCGCGAGTTCCTCTTTTTTCTTTTCTTTTTTTCAAAAAACCAATAAAACACATTATTGCTTCCTTTCAGGGATATGTATTAAACCCTGAGAAGAAATATCAGCAGATTGAGGACCAAATATCAACTATGCCAAACAAAAAAAATCAGCCCTTTCCACTCCGGTTCCTCAGACCACCAACCAAGTGTGCAATGAATGCTAAGCCAAGTTGGGAACTTTTTAGGGTCTTGTTTGGATGATGTGGGTTGGAGTGGAACGTTTGCGAGGGTTAACATGATGTATAGATAGACTAGTTGAAGGCCACATTTGCTCACAGTAAGAAAAGAGGCTAATGTAACCAAACACAAACAATTAAAACAATTCATTAATAGTCAAAAGAAATTGTTCCAGGTTCACCCATTCTATTTCTAACTTCTCAACAAAGTAACCTGGCAATTGAGTTCTTATTTTCTTAACTACATATGACATAAAATAAACATATACACAAACATGTCACACTAAGCAGGTACATGAACTCGGCACATTTTTTTTGGAGGACCTCGTAGGTCATGGAAGAAAGGATGATACTTTGAGAGAAGTAAGAGCTTACATGTCCAGGGCTCCAGGAAAAAGACTGCACATTCACAACAGAGTAAGGTAGGAATGAATTTAATCAACTACTCATACCTCCATTTACTTATTTCTCCTTCCACACAAACTTTCATCCTTTCATAGTGAGAGTTGGTCTAAGGTGCGTACGTCTTCTGAGGGGGGGCATTTTAAGTCTTCTTGTAGATATTTACACAGCAAGTGCTTACGTCTCTGCAACATCAGAAGGACAAACATGCTATCGGTCTTCACAATGCCATAACCTGCCTTGCTATACATATTGTACGGCCCCACATCAATCATTCTACAGTGCAAGTAGACCTTTACCGTGTCACTCATTTTACAAATCAGTTCCTCACTTGCTTTCAACATATGCCACCCTATGCTCCTCCTGGGAACCAAAATATAGTGACGGTACAAAATCAATAGTCATTCTCTTCCAAATGAAACATAATAGGTTGCATGTTTTCATTAAGATGTATACAACAAGGAGAAAACGGGTCAAAGAATCTCTTGAGATGATCACTCGAAGGAAATATTTTTATTCAAAAGTGAGTGTGAGTATATTTGCACAAAAAGTTAAATACTTTGGTTACCATACCTGATTCATACTTATTTTACTTTCTAAACCAAATTTAATACTTTCGTCTATGCTTAAAACTTAAAAGTAAGTATTATCGTTTCATCCTTTTATCTTACACTAGTAGTTTTAATCATTTTTATCTATCATTTGTATCTTTATCTTATACTACGTATTTATCTTTATCTTCTCTTTTATCTTTTTTATCTTACCTTATCTTGTTATATTTCTTATCTTTTGATCTCTTATCTTTTTAGCTCCGATTCCATGTTTGGTTCATGTTAGCCGACCCCAAACTGTTTTGGGACTAAGGCTTGGATGTTGTTGTTGTATGCTTAAAAGTAAGTAATATCCCCTCCATCTCATTCCTTGGGTTGAAACTACTTCGAGTTTAATTTTTTGAAGTATTTTATTTAGAATTGAAATATTAATTATTATTGCATATTTAGAAATTACATTGAAAAATACTCTTAGACATTCATACCAAACCAGATCAATCTTACTGAAACCAAAATCACCAGATTACAAGTATTCTTAGCCTCGAGCAATTGACCAAAGAGCATTGTGTCGGCCTTTACTCTCAAATCATTAGTCAAGGTCCTTCAACGCCCTAGCTAGCATGAATATCTACGGCTATATCTAAGCAATAGAACTATAACATGTATATTGTATGCAGAGATCGTTCGATAGATCGTGATTTTGGCTATTAGTGAAATGTCAAATGCATGAACTTGCTGATTCATAAAATTTACTCTTAATAAAATCATGTATGCAATTAAAGGAAAAACTATTATTTGCATTCACTTCAACAAATTCAGGCAAAAAAGTAACATATCAAACTAAACTTAGCTAGTGTTTGGTAAAAAAAAATAACTAGGACAGATAAACAGAAAAATAGATTTTTCAAACGAGCAAGTAATACAAAACTGACCTCCTTAATGACTTCATGACAGCCATATTGCATATATAAGGTGAATTCTTGGGAGCAGTAGGGGTGGGGGGGTTAGTATTAGCACCCCTTCTATCAAAAGACACTTCCACAGTCCCAGCCAGCCTCATCTCTCCATCTCCATCTCCATCTCCATCTCCATCTTCTTCTCTGTAAAACCCCACAAGTGTGGCAGCGTGAGGCATCAACCTTCTCCTATCAATCAAGTATTGCTTCACAAAAAACTGCAACACCTTCAAATACCTCATGGATATCAGCATCGACTCTGCAAATGACTCTGCCAACAAACTCACTGTCATATCCAGCTCTTCTGGCTTCATGACCCTTACCCAGAGCGACCCAGACTTCAATTCTTGAATATAATTATAGTTTTGGAGAAGATGGAGCTTCTCGAGCTCTTCATTACTGAGAAACTGGCCTGTTGGCCGCGGGGTAGTTGGAGAAGATAATGAGGAGGGAGGAGGAGAGTCAGTGGCTGAGAGCAGAGGAAGGATTGGATTGGAAGAGTTGAGATTCGAGGAGATGGGGAAATGGTGTGAGTGTTTGGGGGTGAAAATTGAATCTTTATGGGAGGTGAAGTCAGCGAGATGGTGGCGACGGGATTGGTGGGGATGTTGGGGGTCGATGAAACGGGAGCAAGAAACGGTAGAAACCGTAGTTGCCATATCTAAAGAGTGATGCACCGGCATCCCGGATATTACTGCGTATCTATCTACAATAGTCCTTACAGGTCGAAATTGAATTGCAAAACTTTTACACGAAATTAAGAAATGACAAGATCTTTGTTTTTTACACTTTTACTCATCTTTCTAAAAGTAGATGCCTTTAAATTAATGGGGAAAAGTAAAAGTAGGGGTAAATTTGTCACTTTATTCTTATTTACATGCCTAAAATAGAAAGTGGAAAATCATTTTGGGACAACCAAAAAAAGAAATTTTGCAAATCAAATTGGGACGGAGAGAGTAATAGAGAAATTACACAAAATAGACTAAAAATGTGTGTACATTTCAAAATAGGATTATCATGTTTTTATTTCCAAAATAGGACTAATTAGTGTCATGTTTTGGCAGTACCAGACTTTAAACATGACAGTATTTTCCAAACTTGACAATAATTACTCATATTTTGGGAATAAAAATATGGCAGTCCTATTTTGGAATTTTCAAAAAAAAATTACTCCTATTTCGAGAATTTTCCCATAATAATACTATGTAATACTACCTCCCTCCCTTAAAACTTTGCCAAAGAAGACCGACACAAAAAATAATAAAATAAAAACTGTGTGGTTGAGGTTTGTGCAGAGGAGAGAGAAATAACAGAAACCACAAAATAATTGATTAAAAGGGAATATTCCCATACACCCCAAGTCCCCAAGTGTATCATAATCATCCGCATGTACATCACGGATCCATCCCAGGATACAAAAAAATACTAAGTCCTCAACTGGGACCGACCCTGACCCCGAGCCACCAAGGTCAGGACAAAGCGCTAGACAGCGAAACAACAGAGGACCGAAGGCCAGCTGACCCCGACCTCGACCCCTAAGGTCAGCATAATACCAAGCTCAGGAACTGTTCAGACACGATAAGTTATGAGGCTGACCTGGAAAGCACCGAGCTCAGTACGAACTCTGACCCCGGGCACTAACGCGAAGTCAACCGGAGTCAAACAGAGAAGTCAACGATCCTGAGACAACCAGAGACAATAGACACATTCCATAGCGAGAGCCCGAGCATCCAAGTACTGACCTCAGTGAGCTCGAGGTCTGGCCAAAGCATCCTGGACTTAGACAAATGTGTGGGAACAGTTATCGCATAAGATTGCTGCCACATCATCGCTGCTTCTGAAAGAGGTCACGTCACTCCTGGCAGCGGGCAGAAAGAATGTCCCGAATTATGCACGTGTAACCACACAAACATTTGGGAAGCAGTTTGTTAGGGGCAGTTCCAATCAGCCAACTGTCCCAGTTATCTGTCCAATCACCTTTACACGTGGTTGCACCCTATTGATTTAGTTTGTTAGTCTATTAGAACGGGTTGGACACGCGTCCTCTCCCCATTAAATCAACATCTTTTTTACTTGATCACCAAGCATTATCTTTTTAATATAAGTATCACCTTCCAACTTGTGGAAAGGGATCGATTTCTGTATTCTCTTGTTGTTACTCTGCTAAAATATTCACTTGAGCTTTCCGATCAACTCTTCTCTTTACTTTATTCAGATTCCGGCCAGCTACCGCTAGGTCAGTGATCCATCATTTTAGTGCTTTCATTGAGAGTTGAACGGTGAGTCAAGTCAGATCCTCCCCTTTTCCTAAAATCTACAGCAAGTTCTCTTCCTTAACAATGGCTGGATGAAAGAGAGTCATGAGAAATAGACGTGTTGTTGCTGCCGTCGCCCAAGCTGAACCCTCCCTGGAGGCCACTGCTACCTCCGGCACCAGGAGGGCTACCAAGGGGAAGCAAGTCGGCCAGGCATCTGCTGATCTGCGCAGCTAGATCCAACGCACTTCTCCGGATCTCCGCCAGTAGATCTCCTAGAACAGGGATGCATCTGCAATGCTGCCCGCTCAGTTGATCCCTCAATTCCAGAATCTTCTGATGGTGGATCCCTCAGCGGCGGTTGGCGCCCTCATCTCCAGACTGCAGCAAGTACTCCCTACGTTGCGGTCCCAGGCGGCAACAACTGTGGCTCCTGATGCCAGCAGGCCCATCTCACCGGTAGACTCCATGTCCCGGTCCCTGAGAGTGGGCACCATCAATGCCCCTTGGGTTGTGGAGAGACCAGCGGAGATGGTCTACTAGTCTCCCCCACGCCAGAGGGCCACTCCGGGGCCTAACTCTCCCCCGATAAGACAGGTCGCTTCTGGTGCGTCTGTGAATGTTGTGTGTCACGCCCCGGACCCACCCGAACACGTCAACAATCCGTCGTACAGTACGAATAGTCAACCGCAGTTCAACACACATACTATACAAAGCGTCTGGGATATCATTCACACATAGTACATCCATAAACAAACATAACGTAAATCATTCATTAAAGCAGCGGAAACATTCATACAAGTGTTCAAGCCACACTTGGAAAACTTAGGCATACAAGCCCTCAATAATTATTCAAAAATAATATCCATGAGCATTATTCATATTGTTTTCAAAACAGGAACGGAAGAAGCACGGACCAAGTCTCTTTCCTTTGGTCTCCCCGAAGCAACGGGCGGTGGTAGCAACCTTCAAGTTCTACCTGAAACTGTGAGGTGGCCTCCCCCGTGAAGGGGAGATCAGTACTTTGAAGCATTTGAAAAGTACAATGACAACTACATTGTATATAATCAATGTTTCAATTTCTAAGACCCTCAATCTAGGGTGAGATTATATTATATTATAGGTCATAACCCTTGGTTACCCAGTTCAAAAATATATTTACTTTATATATAAAGTCAAGTAGTCGGCCCGTGGGCCCATATTCATTTAAAATCGCCCATCCATATCCCACGGGACTACTGGTTACGATTTTCATAGGTTTATAGTAAATTGTTACGCTGTTCTAGGGCTTACCCTAACGCGTTACTTCACTATTTCGGAACCCCGTTCACGTATTATAATTTCACCGTGCTAGAACCTTGCTCGTAGTCACGTTTCATAGTGCTAGAGCCTGGCTCTTAGTCACTCTACATTGTGCTAGAGCCTCGCTCATAGTCATTCTACATTGTGCTAGAGCCTCGCTCATAGTCACCGCTACACCGTGCTAAAGTTTGGCTCGTAGTCACGTTACTAAGTCTTTAAGCAATTTCTATGCCCAGACTCCATTCACTTTGGGTAGCCTTTACGGTCTACCTCTAACATATCTTAGATCTCATACAAATCGACCTTAAAGTATCTCTTAAGACTACTTAAGGCATCACTATTCACAATCTAATCTCTTAGGATTAATCCCATCATTCTTCATATAAATCTTCCGACTAGTACTTTAATGCTAGTTGGATAGCCTTAGACAACCAAATTCTTAATCCATAGTCCAATGATTCATTTCAAATGATTTTCCAATCCAAATATAATTTAATCTCAATATCAAAAATATCACTTTTATCCATTCATGAATTCCTTACATGAAGTAAAAGTATATTTTATCACAATATTTGATAATTAATTCCTACTATCATGCCATCATTTTCATAACATATAATCATACACAATTTACAATTTGTATATCATGCTTCATTTACTCATATGCAATAGCATTTTCATTTAGGCATTATTAATCATTAATAATCCATGAAAATCACATTTAATACTTTAGGTAATCTTATGAAATTAACTCACTAATTATAAGCAATATAGTCGGTCATCCTCACCTCGAATGAGCTTTAAGAAGTTCTACCCTTCTCGGTTGAACTCTGACGAAGCTCCGGCGAACTCTGGCGAAACTCCGACGATACTCCGGCGAAACTCCGGCGACAGTTAGGAACACCTTAGTCAAGCTCCTAACAAGGTTTTATCATCACAAAACTCATATCAACACAAATAACCTCTAAAAGGTTATTTTCCGGTGAACCGGTCACTTTGACTTCTAAGTCTGTTCTTGGACTTAGAGCTACCTTCCAACCCCTTATTCTACACTTCTAAACATGTAGAACAATCCTAGGGGTCCTTCATATGATTACACAATTATGTGAAAAGATTAAGAAAAGGAAAATAGGATTAGTGAAGTCATTACCTTGTTATCCTAGATTTTTCCTTCTTAATCACCCCTTTTTCCTCCTCTTTTACCTTCCTTGGTCTTGGTGCGGAAATGGGTGAAGAAGATGATTTGCAGAGCTTCTCACACCTTGGATGAGGTCCAATTCGAATTATGGGGTTGGTTGTTGATTGAGAATGCCTTTTTGGCATTTCTCACAACAATAATATGGGAGGGGTCCCATTTCTTTTATTTGTTTGGCCATCAATCAATTCAAGCTTGCTCCTCCATCCCATTGCGCGGCTCCCCTTTCCCTTTGTAAGGCTAAAAACGTGGGATGACTCCCACTAATGTGGGAGGTCATCCCTTTGTGTCCCGATGTGTACAATCGGCCCTGAAAGTTGTATTTCTCGGATTGTTTTAATTATATTTTATTTTATCGGGCCAAATAAAATATATCACACGTTCCTAATCATTATAGGCCTTTGTAATAGATGTAAATTCCCCATATTTAATTTAGATGTCTCCGAAATTCATTTCGGGCTGTTATCTGATAAATTACCAATATAGGTAATTGGGCCTCGTTTGATCAATGGGTCAACTCCATGCCCTTTCTATGGCCCAACTATAATATCCACCACCATATACATATTATCTAGACTAAGACGAATATAATATGTGGTTCTGGAATTATCGGGCAGTCCCCCGTTCCCGGTGCAGGCCCCACGTGCAATTTACTATTCACGCAAAAGAATAATAAAAATTTACAACTTCGCAAATTCATAATTCATTCTTCAAGATTTATTACATAATTTACTAAAAATAAATATGCTTGGGGACGGTGTTACAAGTTCACCCCCCCCCCCCCCCCCCCGCCCCTGACGGGGATTTCGTCCATGAAATTCACAACTCTTATTCAAACAGAAATGCATACTGTTCCTTCATCAAGGCTTCCGTTTCCCAAGTTTCTTCTTCAACTCGGTCACTTTTCTAAAGGATTTTCACCATTGGAACTTTCTTGCTCCTTAGCTTCTTTACTTGTCTATCAAGTATCTTTACCGGTTG